TTTTATCCAAATGTACAAATTCATGAACAAAATTGATACTATCAATTGGCATCGTGAACCAGAAGTATTGGGTAGGCTAACTAGAGGACACAATCAAATGTTGCGAAGGCAGTATGTTCAAAACTTTTTGCCGAGGCATCATTTCTTTACGAACCGTATAGTTGAAAATTGGAATCGTTTGGACAGTGAAGTTGTTAACGCTAATTCATAATTGATTTTAAAAATAAACTTAAAAAGTTTAGCGAAAAACAGTTGTTAAAATCTAACATCTACAGTTGTTAGATTCTTTCTTGAAACTCTCAAGAACACAGCTTCAATTATTATTATTATTATTATTATTGCTACTATTATTATTATTATTATTATTATTATTATTATTATTATTATTATTATTATTATTATTAAAAATGTTTTAATGAATCAAAATTTTTTTGTATACTTCTAATATTAACATAAAGAATAGAGAGCGAGTCGTTCTCCATTCTTTCAATTATATTTTTGGAATTTACGTTATAATATAATGGGTTAATATTTTTTATTAAATCATTATTTAAAAAATTGATATCCGGATCAGAATGTTTTTTTAAAAGTATTGATTTTTTAGTTAGCAATGAATTAAGTTCAAAGTTTTTTAAAGCAGGATTGTCAGCCATTTTAAAGCAGGATTGTCAGCCATTTTAAATAAGAGTAATATTAAAATATAGAATATAGTTTTTAATAGCTGGGTTGCTTATTTTTAAATTCTTTAACAATAAGTTTGTCATAAATAATAATTGAATATTTATCATTTTTTTGGTGTGTCTTCATTTTGTCCAGTAACTTTTTTCTTATTTCATTTGTTTCGAAAGAATAATCTTCATTGATGTACATTCCGGATCCTTTAAGCTTATTGCAACGCTTTGCTTATTGCAAGCTTATTGCAACGCTTATTGCAAGCTTATTGCAAAGCTTATTGCAAGCTTATTGCAACGCCTTTAAGCTTATTGCAACTTTGTCCTTATAATGCAGTAATTTAACGACTATAGTCCTTGATTTGTTACCATCTTTTTTACCAGTTCTATGAGCTCTTTCTATATGCATATTACTTAGTGGAAGATAGTTTTCAAAAAAACTTATTACTTTTATTTCAGTGTCGTCCCAATTTTCGTTTTCGTTTTCGGTAATTCCATCAATTCGCAGATTGTTTCTCCTAAGTCTGTCCTCCAATTGCCGTAAATTTATATTTTCACCGTCACCAGTGCTGCTTTTATATTTAATTTTTTTTTTCGTGTTCAATTACTTTTTTTTCTTGAATGTCTTGTTTGACTGTTAAACTTTCTTCTATATCTTTATCAACATTTTCCAAGATTTTCATTCGTTCACATAATATTTTGAATTCGGATTTCAACTTTCCATTTTCCTTTTCTAACAAATCGCATTTTTCTTTTGAATTGTTTGCTTCTTTTAATAATATGTCAATTCTGTCATTTTTTAACTTTAGGTTTCCAGATATGATTTTTAAAATGTCATTCTGCTGTTTTAGAAACATTTCTTGAAAGATTTCACGAACCATTTTTATTGAGATGACTGATTCATCTCTTTCGATATTAACGTTATTTTTCTTATAATCACTATTATTTTTCTTACCCATTGTAATAGATAATAAGACTTACTTTTTGAACGAAAACGTTTGATGTGGGTAATGTGAAATGTGTTAAAAGTTAATACTAAAAACATAAAAATACTAAGTAATTTTTCGTTTAATTTTTACTCCTATTATAAATATTATAACTTAAATTTTAATTTAGCAGTATAAGGTTTTATATGAAAAAATATTTAAATAATTTATATTGCGAAAATAAATGTTGAAAATTTTCAAATTAGTTTATATGGTTTGGTGTGGTTACAGTATAGCTTAGTCACTAAATTATGAAAACGAAATACACTAAGTTAATGTGTTTTATTTTAAATTATCTTTTACAAAGCAAATCTCAATGTCACTTTACAAAATATGGTATAAGTTATATAATTAATAATATAATACTTATATTATAAATACTGTAATTGATATTATAAGTTATAATATAAGGTTTTAAATAAAAACATGTTTAAGTTATTTATATTGTGAGTTATTTGTAAATAGTAGTAAGTAATAACAAAAATTATTAGGTGTTTGAACGTTTAACTTAATTTGTCTGTAATAATAAAAAAATTATCACATTTTGTTTGAATATATTATTTATTAAATACATTTTTAAAATTCTTTAAAATATAAAAGCGTATATATTTTGATAGCAATATTCAGACATGTGTTTAAGAAACAATTTAGCTGATCTAAAAGAGGTTAATTTTAAGTTTTAAGGTTTTAAGATGTTTTTTAATTAATTTTTTTTTTTTTTTTTTTTAAGTTGATTATGGTGCCCCAAGAAGTCCTTACGGTCTTATCACAGAGCACCGCGGAAAAGCATTTAATAGGAAGTTCACGCCTCCTTCCCAACCGATGTCGCAAAACTTGCGCAGAGGTGGGGTTTGAACCACGGATCTTACGTTTCTGAAGCAAGTGCGCTACCACTGCGCCACGGCTGCTCAATTATCACAGGATGTTATATAATTTTTTTAGAATATGTTGTGAAATAAATTAAATATAAAATCATAAAATGCTACTCAATTCAATATAAAATTGAAAATGTAGTTTTGATAATCATGAATGTTTTGTATTTTTCACTTGCTATAATAAGTCAATTTATATTATGTTATTATATAATATCATAGTCATATATAATGTTTATTTACAAAGTTATAAAAAAGGTATCAAATTTTTTTGGTAATACATTTTTTTGTATAAAACTATATTAAATTTATTTAAGAGGTTCAATAGTATCTACGTTTTGTTTTTAGAGTTGGTTTGTGTTGATTTATGATTAACAACAGAAAATACATTGCTTCAACAAATTTTAGTTTTTTACACATAAAAATTATGTAAAATCTCCTATGAAATGGTTCATCTAATCAGGAAGTATATATCATAATTACAAGACAAGAAATCATTAAAAAATGACTAAAGTCACAAAGTAACTTTGATAAAGAAAAAAAAATTTAGAGTCATTATAATCATTAGCTTTAGAGTCATTATAATTATTGCTAAAAGGGCCAAGCCATTCAGTGTAATAATCAATGAGTCACCAAAAACAACAAAATTGGCTAAGGGGTTTAAAGCAGAGCTTGCTCCATTTGGTCAGATTCTAGCTTAGGTTTAGTTTTTCCTTATTCTACTTTTAGGTGGTTCAGACTCTGCTATTATCTAGTTAAAACTTTTCTTATTTGTTTTTTAAATCAGATTTATTCTATCATTGAACTTCTTACAACTACCTTACAGCTGACACTTCTGTCACTTTTTTTAAAGTGGTTTTTAGGCTGATGTCTACTGTTTCTCTGCTAAATATTGTGCCTTCTATTTAATTTTTTTTTAATTGTTATTGAAACTTTTATTTCTTTTCATTGGATTTAAGTCAAGTAGCAGTATTGATATTGATGAAAAAAGTTAGAAACTTTCTCATTAAATGCTAATATTTGTTGTTCTATTTGGACTTTTTGAGGGCTTTAAAAACGCCTATATACATTCAAGCCCCGCTCTATTCTGTGTTTTTCTCTTTTTTTATCACAAAAGTGTTCTCTAAAAGTCCTAAAAAAGTGTTCTCTAGAGCTCTCTTGGATTTTAAATGTGCAAAATTATAGACAAATTTTCATTGACATTATTGATTGGCATCATCAGAAATATCTTACGGAAATCGAAAATACGGATATAATTTTTATAAGGGTTGGGATATCGGATCTGGTGCGCAGGGCCGGGTATTTTACGTGCCGCCATTGCAGAAAGTTTGGTAATTTTTGAACGAGCCGGAACCATGAAAATATTATTAGCTCTAACTCCTCTATCCTAATATTCAATTTATAGCTTTTTTCAAGATAAAATAGTAATTTCAACGATTAAATTTGGAGTACCGAGTGAGATACTGTATTAAATACAGCATCACGTTATTTTTAATAAAGTAAATCTACTAAAACATTGCGAAGCGAACCCTAACGTTTATCTAATTACTTCATTAATAATCATTTTTAGAACCATTGTTTTTAGACATAAGTACCATCCTAGCGGCTATAAAACAATTTATTTAGTTTGCTTTTACTAAAAATTTATTTTATACTTGGCCCCTTCTATTACAAGTTTTTAAAACAACTTTTAATGTTTGAAAATCTCAATTACTTTAGTTCTTTTTTCGGCTCAGTCAAGTCTTAGTCAGTCAGTCAAGTTCACATCTCATCATGCTTTTGTACTCTGTAGAAACGCTGATTTCCCGTATCGGTTAATTGATATATGTTTTTATTGTTTTATTGCTTATTATGTTTGTAAAATTATAACCTTTTTTTTTGTATTTATTTTTATTTTGTATTATTTTATTATTATTTTAATTTATGAATATACATTATACTTTACTTTGGTTCTATTAGAAAAACTTGTTTTTAAAAAGGGCGTATTAATTTAACTTTAGCCAAAGCAACTTTTTTGCTGTAGTAAATTTAAATTTAAGTTCGTTTCCAAATTAAGTCATAGCAACTATAAATTCAAGATCAAAACTTAAAGTTTTAAGTAATTAAAACTTTTAGTTTCAAATAAGTAAAATAAATACTATTGAAAATTCTTTCAAGAAAATTGGTTTGTGTGCAGTTTTTTTGTATTGCTTTTTTTCAGCTTTAAATCAAAGTGCTTTATGGCAAAAAAGATCAGCATTACTGGTATAGAAGGAAAAAGGAGCAAAAATAATTCTATAAGAGTCATTAGAAGTCATTATGGTTGGGAAAAAACGTAAAATAATTTACGCTTTCAATGACTTATAATCTTTTGTCTTTTTTTATAATAATGGAATATATAAAACTTAACAACAACAACAATAATAATAACAATAATAAAAAAATAATAACAATAACAATAATAAAAGTATTAATAAAGGAAAAATAAGACATTTATTGCAAGACTTTTTAATTGAAAAAATTTGTAAGATCAAAAAAAAAGTAGAAAGAATTAATCTGTTAAGTCGATTACTTCAACTATACCTTTTTGTAATCTAGCTGGCCATCGGCAAACAGGGCATCTATGTTTACTATTCTCTAATACTAACCAATTATAGATACAAAATTTATGAAAAATGTGTAAACATGGTAGCCCTGTCACAATTTCATAACATTTAAACTGCTCCATGCAAATAACACACTCATTGACTGAATAGCCATATTTTCTAATTTCATCTTCAAAGGAACATTTTGACTTTGTAAATCTAATTGAACCAAAATTACATTGAACCTTGTCAGCATGTTTACATTTACATTCATCTGAACAAGATATATTATTGTTATAAAGAGGTGATGCAGAAAATTTCCAAGAAGGCAGATCTTGAATATAATTTAATGAATTCAATGGATGAAGCCATAAATCAGGAGTTGATAACCTCTGTAAAACTCTATCAATACTATCATCAAATAAAAAAACTTGAAATCTTGGTGTTATGTAGGAAAATAGTGATGTCATCATGTTGTTAAGATCTTGGAAATCATTTAATAAAATTGTAACCAATGATCCAGATTCATTCTCCTCATGATTTAAAAACTTATAGCGTAAGTAACCGAGAATAACTCCATAGAAAAAAAATCCAAAAGTTGCAATATATAAATGCTGCATCACCTGAAGAAAGTCCTGCCTTATAGTAGCCGCTACATCTGAAAACATTAAGTACTGAAGGGCCTTCAAAAAAATATCTGTAATAGGCTGAACTTGTGGTAAATTTATAACTTGAATAATAAAGATCCATAGTGAAACCAAAACAATATTAGTAATTAAACAACCCCAAATATAATAAATAATTCTTCTAATTGGTCCACCTTTCTGTAAAAATATTTCTAACCAGCATGCCATATTAAACAATATAACAGAAAATATAAAAATATCATTTAGTTCAGGATGCAATGTTCTCAAAAATAAATTTATGCATTTGTATGAAAAATTTTCTCCCTTATGTTTTCCATAATTATATTTTGCATATTTATTCATGGCAACTGCATTATCATTGCTGTTGCTAGACTTTAGAATATAAAACTCTACACGACCACTAAATGTTACTGAAAGCGATGTAAAAAAAAGTGGAGGTGCACTGTTGCTAGAAGAATAAATAAACAACATTGAAGGAAACTCATTAGCAACTGGTTCACTACTAATTTCCTTAAATGACTGAACACTTTTAAGTTTAAAGTAAAGTTTACGTTGAACCCATTGAAAAATCTTGTTAATAGAAATCGACTTACTATATTTATAAACAGCTATATTTTCCTTTTCTATAGTCAAAAGTAAAGATGGTACATGTATATTTAAATGTAAGCACAAAAAGTGATCAACATTACAGTCATAAGTTGCAGTTTTTATTCCATAATAAGTTAATTTATCAGACAAAAAATTCCAATTCATTTCTTCCATAGGAATCGACGCATTTTTGTAGGACCGAATTAAAACTAACCAAATACTTGTATTTGTATCCTCAATCTTTTCAATGTAATCTTGAAAAGAACAAAGAACTGAAAATGATGGTACTTTTGTTACAATTTTAGGTGAAACAAACTTTTTCAACATAGAATCATTTCTGAAAAATGTCTTATTATCTTGAAACATATCATTCCAGAAACCTTTTGGCAAGAATTTAACGATTGCATCTTGAATAGAGTTTAATGAAAAAGATTCCAAAGAGAAATCAATAATCCTTACGCCAACAAAAACTAGTAAAAAATAAATGAGCAAGAAAAAAAGCTTTAAAAACATGTATTATTTTAAACTTTAACTGTTAGCTTTGAATCCTTAAATCATTACAAACATTAAAAAAAAAAAAAATTAAAAAAAAAAACATGACTTAAAGAGAACCAACATAAACAAAAACCTGCCTAAACTTTGCACTTTATCTATTAGAGGTATTTAAATAAGATTTAAGTGAATTGTTTATTTAAAGTTTGCTTATAAATTAAAAAAAAAAATTTTTTTTTAGTTTATAAATTTTTATTAACGTTGAAAATAAATAATTTTACTAATAAGTTTAAAATATTTAAAATATTAAGCTTAATATTATGCTTCACTTAAAACCCCCGTAAATTAAAAATAATATATTTTTAGAAACAACTTACCTCAATTACTACTTGATGTTAATTTTTTTTTTCTATTTTTGTTCATTATTGCATTTCAAAACATTTCGTTGATATTTCTTAAAAGTTACCAGCTAAAATATAAAAATCTAAATAATTATAAGTAAAGGTTGTTATTATGTTAAAAAAAAAAATGAACGCGGAGACCGTAAGGTCTTGTCGCCGGTGCAGGGGGTGTCAGGTGAGGATGGGGGGAGAGGGGAGGGGGAAAGGGGGGCTATTAAAACTTTGCCAACAAAAAAAAAAAAATTGAGCCAGTACAACAGCTCCCGGATTGTAATCATAGTGAGTTTAAAAAATTTTGAAACACTGCAACTGTCTCTTTGAAAATATTTTTTCTTTGCCATGAAGGATGGCGTTTAAGTGACCTTTTTTTGGTAATAGGTAGTACTTAAGTTACTTATAAATGAAATAAGAGAATAGAAATAGCTTACCTATATTTGTAGCAGAGCTTATTTACATTTGCATAAAAATTATAACGTGGCAGTAAACCATTGGTGGATTAAGACTTCTTGGGGCCCGGGGCTATTTTTGTTTTTGGAGGCCTTTTTATAGACCAGAGCCTAAAAATGAGTTAAAAAAAAAAGGTCCTCTAAAATTTTTGGGGGCCCCTAAATTTGTGGAGCCCGGCGCTAAAGTTCCTTCTACCCCCTCCCTTGATTCGGCACTGTTTTTTGCATTGTCGTTGATGCTAGATTCAAAATGATTAAAGGTGCTTTTCAACTCCATCGAAATGCAGTAATTGAAAAACTATGTAACCTGTATCTTGCATATAACAATATAAAATCATCAAAACCTATTTGCTAGCCTAAGGACATGATTTTTACTCACTATACTGTAAGCATTCCGCTGCAAAATTTATGTGACTATACACAGGGCCGTTCCGAGGGGGGCGTAGGGGTTTGTGTAGCCCCTCCAAAGAATTTTATTAGTCGACAAATCGGAACTGGAGTCGGAAAAATTGGATCTATAGTTGGCAGTCGGCAAATGTCGAAAAACGAGAACCTTTTTTTTTTTTAATAAGTAAGTGGACAAAAATATATTTGGCTTTAGTCGACAAAAAAAAGACACGTCACCCCCTTCCTCCCCTTTAAAATCTCTTCAGTACGGCCCTGACTATGCAGCTCAAAGAACTTTGTCAAGTTCAAAATGAATTTCACCTGGTATCTCTTTATTATAAAGTATGTTTTTATATCTTGGATATCTTTTATATCTTTTATATCTTGCCGAGCTTAAAAGAAAGTATATATAGTGGTCCTAAAAGAATGTTCATGTTGTATATAAAAAGTTTTATAAACTTTTGCATTACAGTTATAAACATTGACAAGCTTAGTTTTATAGCCAGTCATTTTCTTGTGTATTTCGTGTATTAGGAATTCAGAAGTTTTATCTTAAATTCATACACGAAATTCAATACACGAAATACACAAGAAAATGAAAGATTTTTTTGAATTTTAAGACGCCTATTTGTACAACTAAAATGGTGGAAGATACAAATATTTTTTCGAGAAATCAGTTGTTTACAAACTCTTTAACAAAAAAGTTCAAATGGTGTTGCATTACGGACGCCACTATGGACACGGACCATTAGACCCACTCAATCTGCCAAACTTGAGCCTCTCTCCCATCATCGTAAAGTTGCATCTCTTTTTCTTTTCTACAAATACTATCATGGTCGCTGCTCAAAGGAACTATTAATTCTAATTCTATCAGCTTAAACTCATTCTTGTTGACTCGTCATTCATCAAAGTCTTATATAGCACTATTTATTTCAGACACTCTTTTTTATGAATTCATAAGAGAAGCATAGGTTTACGCTTTTTTAGAATGATTAGATGAAAAAAATACAACACACTAATTAAAAACGCTACCATAATACTTCAAATTTAAAATACAGTATAATTAATTTATTACATTCACATTCTTAATTTATTTATTAATTAATTAATTTATTACATTCACAATCTTCTTTCTTACCTTTTAATTGATCGTCAAAATAATTGTTTCAACAAAAAATAAAATAAATGAAGTTCCAGATTTTGTTGCTGCATTTTTTACTTCGTAACCGAATTACTATAGTAATTCGGTTACAAAGTTTAACGAATATTTGCTATTCGACTTCGCTTAACTTTGATTGGCGAAGTTAAACAAACTTCGTTGGTTCTTAATAAGTAAATGCCTAATGAGTAAAAATTAGTTAATAGGGTTCATTAATGATATGCGATAGTCGTAAGACAATTCTGTATGCACTACATTCAAATCATTTTTAAACAAAGGGTTCAAGAAATAATTAAGGAATAAACGATAATTTATATAAGTAAACTACATTATCTCCAAGACAATCTTAAAAATAATTAAAATCTAAAAAGACACACAACATCTTATTCCCATTTGTATAACAAGGTTTAATATTATGAATTTAACGAAAAATACTATATAGTAACACAATATAGCAATAACATAAATATCACTCGTAAATATCGGTTAACAAAATAAACCAACTTGTGATGTTGCCGGTGACAGTAATACTTACCTTAATTGTATTGAAGTCATTTTTTTTCTTGAACTGCTGACTAATGATCAATAAAGTAAATTTCAAGTCATGAAAGTTTACTAAATTAAAACATTTTAACAGTTAGGCAAATTAAACTAAAATATTGACGCAGAGGAGAACGTTAAAAAAGGTAGAACTAAAAAAAATAGAAAATTATAGTAAATAAAATAAGTTATATTTTGATTTGTATAAAACAACATTATGTTTTATACAAATTAAAATATTTTCTCTTAATCTCTATAATTTGTATCAAACATGATTAAAATAAAAAAAATACATCAAAAAGTAAAACCATATACATTTTTTAAATATAAGAACTGATAAAATCCTTTATACTATACTTAAGAGAAAAAAACAGTATATTAAAATCAAAATCTTCAGATATTTTACTAAAAAACCTAATTAAAATAATTTTACTTTCATTATTTTAATTTATTTTACGTGATTTATAAAATCAGAAAAAAATCAATTTAAAATAAAAAAAAACTTAAAGAAAAATTACTAAAAACTTATTGGGAATTTGTTGAGACACATTAACAAAAATAGTTAATTCAATTAAACTAATATTTTGGGTGAGCTACTCCCAACCGGCATTTGGTCTTAAAAAACGTTTTTGAACGTTCATAAGACGTCTATTTTGGATCAAATGCCGGCTAGGAGTACTTATAATATACTAAGTCTTATAATTACATTATTACATACTCAACCCTGCTCGTTGTTTGTTTAATGTTAAAGAAGGTCTGAACTCTGGAATTTTAATAACGCGCTTTGTTCAGAAAAAAGGGATCTATTGTTTATCAAAAAAAATGATTATGTTACTGATATGGTCCAGACACTAAATTTAATGTGGACATATACAGTAACTTTATTTTAAAATTTAAAACAATTTAAAAAGGATTAAACACAAAAGGTTAAAAAATAACTCACAAATTAACAAATATAATAGAATAATTGTTAAAAAAAATGAATAGCTAAAAAAAAAAGTTAACAGTTACAATTTTTTAATGCAAATAAGTCTATAACTTTTTCAACATTAGGTTCTATCTCTTGGTGAATATGCAATATAGCAAGACTGTTCATTATCTTAGATGACATAGTACTTGTATGTAACTTTTTAATTGTTTCATAGCTGAAAACAATCTTTTACATGCAGAATGTAATAAAACTATTGGTAACAGAGTAATCACTGTATCCACAAACAATATGCTCAAGTATCCATTGAATCTCTGCATTAAGTTTACCTCCATTGCGATAAATAAATGGACTACTACTACTACTACTACTACTACTACTACTACTACTACTACTACTACTACTACTACTACTACTACTATAAACGTGATAGTAGCAGATTTTTAACCCTCATGTTACCTTTATCGAATTTGTTAAACAATCGAGTCAACGGGTCATAATAAAGGCAGAGTAGGTGTTTTTTTTTTAATTTACCATATTCTAAGGATGGTTAAGTTATTTTAATTAATAGGAACTGTTTCATCATAGTAAAAAATAAGTTATTTATTAAGCTATCATTGAAGCAATTATAGACAAGTAGCATGAGGGATCATTCACTGTTCCCCGACTCCCCATTGTACCCGATTAAAAAGCAACAGTTTTAATTTAAAGCACTTCTAATTCCCTCCTTATTTTCAGGTAATGTAAAAATTTTCGTTACTAACTTTTGCTACTAGTCCCGTAAAAGAATCATTATTTAATTTCAGAAATGTACATGGTAAATATATGATTTTTACTACAGAAGTATGTCAATTTTTTTAGTTGATTCAATATGACTACATAAAAAACTACTTTCCTAATAAATGAATAGTAAGGAAAAAGGTTTTTATATTATTGTTCCTTTACATTGAAAAGCTAATTTTTATCATAAGTTTAACAATACAATAGCCGTTAAGTCCCGATAACGACGATTTATACCAAAATTTTTGGTAGCATTAGGGATCATAGTTTTGGAAAAATTTTAAAGTAACATATATTTAGCTATTTTAAAGTACTTTTCAAAACTTATTATTCTTTACTAAAAAATTATTTTACCAAATAGTAAATATAATAAAAATTGTATATTTTGATAAATAATAAATAAACTTCAATGAAAAAAACCCCTCAAGTCATAATCAAACTCCTTATGGTGATATTACAAAATGATCTAAATTGGAAAACTCAATTTAAAAACATTCACAAGAAATGCTTTGCTAAAAACTGTCCAAATAATAATGATACATGGAATTTTCGAAGTATTTTGAGAACCATTTATTTGATTTTGAAAAGTTTTTCTTTGTTTTAAATCAAATTTTTCCCCTTTTAAATAATATAATAGCAGTTTTAAAAATGTTGATTGTAAGCATAGGAGTTGTATTCGCAAAAAAGAACTGATTTTAGATGAGTGACTTAAAAATTGTAAGGTTTCAATAGCGTAACGATTGATCTAAAGATCAACCTTACAACCACTTGCCTCTTATTTTAGGTGCCTCTTGGGGCACCTGAAATAAAATGAATAAAAAAAAAAACGCGGACAAAAACTTTTAGAAGATTCAAGGAAATTCAATGCGCATTCTAAAATCTAATAAAACTTGCTGCCAACTCGATTATGCTGTGCTCCTAGGCCTGCAATTTTTTACGATCACAAATGGAACAAAGCCTGACGCTTTACTACAAACAATTAATACCAAAAAAATTGAAAAAAAAGTTATGGTTTTACAAGCTATCTGTTCATGTGGTTTGAAAATTTTGAACAAATCTGAACAAAATAGCTTCTCTTAAAATAAATTCCGCTTTTAAAGATTTGCATTAAAGTAAAATATTTGAAGATTTGATGTTATGAAACATTTGCATTTATTTGTTTTACGAAGAAAACTTGCTATAATTTCCGATATTTGTGTTTGTAGCTCATATTAAAATTTTTCTTGAACGATAACATTTTTTTATTATAATAAATATTATATAAAAAAAGCGCTATTGTTAAAATTTAAAAATAACTTTTTAAATATTAAACAAAATTTTTGTAAAAACCGTCATTAACTACGTAGTTCACGACTCCTCCCTCACCGATATCGCAAGCTTATACACTAGTTAGTTGTTTGGTGTTTACAAAAAGGGCTATGTTACCTGCATTTACATAGAATTATACTAGGGTCAAACTCTGGTAAATCTAGGTTTTTTGACGGAAATAACTTACAATACCTTGATTGATTTAATAATTACTAAAATAATGGCAGCTTTATTTTATAAATATTTTTGTTATTACGCTTCAACTTCGACAACATTTAAATAACTAAAATTTAAAAACTTTAACAATGAAAATTATATTGGTAAAGCAATAAAAACTCAGACATTTACTAAAAGGTCTACTACTAAAACGTCAGCAGACATTTTATCAGAAGCTGTATTACAAAAACGTTTCTGAAAAGTAATTTCATAGAAACTGAAAACTACCGTTTTCATAGGAACTGAAAACTACCGTCTGCATTTTATATAGTTTTATTAAAAGAAAAACAAACAAGTTTAGAATAAATAATGCACATTATGCTAAAATATCTTTATTATTATTATATAACTTTACTTCATTTAACTATATACATTATTTATTATAAGTCATGACCTGCAACCAATCCACGAGTAGCACGTTTTAAATGTTCTCCAATGAATTTGTCAATAAATTTTTTCGTATTAGTTTACAACAAAAGAACTGACAACTAAAAGAACAAAATCCTAATATAATAATTAACAATTGATTAATAATTAAGCATTCTTACATAACTATATTTAAATACTGAAGCTGATTTATCAGATTTTTTGAAACAAAATTTATCAGATTTATGAAACAATAAACTGTTAAATTTACCTAACGTAACATATTAGAACAATATTAGACAATATTTATCATGACTAAATTTCTTTAAAGTATAACTTCATCCTGAATTTGCGGAGAATTAAACTTTTAATTGACTAATTTAATCCAAGAACAATTAAAGCAGAAAAATTAAATGCTAAATTGATCATTTAAATTTTTATAAAGGAAAATGAAAACTCATTTTCTACAAAATCCTTTTCCTCACATTTTTGCCAGACTTTTTTTTAAATTTTAATGTTTAAAAAAAAGTGTTTGATTCCTAATATACTTCGTAAGAAAGTATTGCTTCATAAGAAGGTGACTGCCAAACATATTGTTGTAATCGATTAATCTAAAGGAAATGTTAAACTAATTTAACTTTTATATCAGAATATTGAAAGAAAAATTATAGGATTTTCTTTTAAAGGTTTATTATTCTTGAACTGACGATACATGTTTATGTCTCTCCGAAAATCATGCGCATTTTATTGCATGCTGACACCAAAAGATATATGATTTTTAGATGAATACTAAATCTATTAATACACAAATACTAAACTAAATTTTATTAATCCATTGATCAATGACGCTGGATTTAAAGATTCGTTGCCACTACGATGAAAAGTGTTTATTAGAACATTAAAATCAAGAAATTGTTTAAAAGTAAAATTTTTCATTATTTAACTTATATTTAACTTTAAACTTTTTACTAATAGTTATTAAACCACAACCTTTCGAGAACTATTTGGAAGAATACTAGGATAGAATTGTCATAAAATAGTATTTTCATTTCGTATTCAGAAGGTCTTATTGACAAATCTTTTTTTTTTACACTTTTAAGTTAAACTATCAATATATTCCAAGAAGCTCACAAATGTGCAAATAAGTTAAAATATTTTTGACTAAGGTAAAAATAATCATGAACTCAAAAAGCAGCAGAAATGATCTGTGAACATAATCTACATTGTCTTACATATGCACACTTTCTTATGTATGACGTGTAATAACTCTAGCATAGCACAAAAAACTTTTAAATCTGGCATGCGGTCAATTACACATGTGAAATTGATGATGCAACAAATGATACATCATATATAAAACAAATCACAAGACATAGATAAATTGATAATAAATAACTAATTTGCTTAAAAAAAAAAACTGTTTTTAAAACAGATCACACACGACTATTTATTTGTTGTGAATGATGACCATACATCGTTGCTTTTATTTGTATCAAAGTCTGCTGTAGTAGTGTAACAAAGTTGTTATTTGTAGAAAGCAGCCAAAACCAATAATACAACTAATACATTAGGCAATATTAGTTGCCTAATGTACAAACAAGAAAGAAAAAAAAAATTACTTACATGTTTTACCCATCAACATAAACAAAGATATCGTGTCACCATATTTTTCCAATCAACATGTTTGCATGGGTTTGGTTGGCGTGTGGGAGTGGGTGGGGATGGTCAATTTTATTAGGAGTATTATAATATAAATAAAAATAATCAGCAGTATTCTACTATTTTTAGTGTTAAGTACACTTGAACAGGAGTTGACTTTGAAATTCTGTCTAAACAAATCTGTTAAATAAACTGATTTTTAACATTATAAAGTAAATATTTTTTGTAATGTTTGAAATTATCTTATCTAACATCTTATACATTTTTTACAATAAAGTAAAACCACTATGTCCTTTTAAAAATGGATTTTTACTTGGAGCTGTTACAAGCATCCAAAACATTTAAAATTTTACATAGGACATTACGCCTCAAATAATTAACTTACTAAGTGATGATTAAAAGACTCTAGTCTCCATGGCTAATTTTTGCCTTATACCTTTCTCGTTCATTTTTGAAATTCAGCAAAACTGAGCATGCAGTAGTAAAGTACACAAAGCTGTTAGAATCATCTGAAAGAACTTCTATTATCTCTTTAAAGTTTTTACTAATAGTTATTTAACTGAAACTTTTTGGAGAATCAAAAACTAGTTGGAAAAATAACTTGGACAAATTTGTAACAAAATTCTTATTTGATAATCAGAAGATCTAATAAAAAAACATTTTTTAAAAATATTTTTAAGTTAAACTATTTCAATAAGATTGCTTTCGTATATGTAAATGAGTCGCTAATGTGATTATATGTATAACATGTAACCACAGCGTTTATTTGAAGAAATAAAAAAAAAATGAAAAAATAATTGCACTTACCTCTTTTATCCATCAACATATGGAAGATGTTAGGTGAGCATAATTCTTCAATTGTTTGCCTATGTTTTGGTTGGTAGGGTGACAAAGATGTTTTTACACAATAAAGAGAAGAATTTATGTTGATTATTATTGAACTTGAGTTTACTTTTTCTATTGTGCAAATACTGCTGGCAGAAACGAAAAGAGTAAATTTTAATAACCGACTTGACCAGGTAAAGTCATTACAGAAAGTAATCATTTCAAAAAAAAATTGCTTTTAAAAAAAAAACTCTTTATGTTGCAGATGTCTTCTAATTCAATCTTTAAACATTTCTATTAACTCATAAATAAAAAAAATAACTTTGTTCCACTTTTGATTAAACTTGTTCAATTAACAATAGAAATAAGTTGCAAAATTTTATTAATGTTGTTTTTACAGAAAAAAAACTTGAAATATTGGGGCAGGAGGTACTAAAGGAATTTTGAAGCACTTGGTCAACTTACAGATTTTCTGTGAATGGTGATACACATCACTTATAAGTCTTAAATAAAAATAAAATTTAATAAACTTAAATAAAATTTATTCTTTATACTTGTCCTTATTAATCTTTTGTATAATTCAAAAGTTAAAAGTTAAACAGAAAGCAAGAAATTCTATAAAGGGAATTTAACTTATATTAATTCCTACTAAAACAAAATCAATAAGTATTACAGAATTGATATGTTGTTATGTAATTATATGTATATGTATATATATATATATATATATATATATATATATATATATATATATATATATATACATATACATATATATATATATATATATATATATATATATATATATATATATATATATATATATATATATATATATTTGTATATTTATTAATATGTATTATAACTAAAACTCCTTATAAATGATCTTTATCTAAAATAGAATAAACTTTCTTAAATATTCTTGGGCCGAGGAGATTTTCTTTCGGTACGTATTTTAGTAATAAGTGAGTTGATTCCAAACTTTTTAAAAACAAATTCAAATTCAGGAATACCACGAACATAATTTTCGAAAACGACTCGCTCTATTTTGCATTGGCTGTATATATAATCTCCAAGATACATATATATAGCATCAACTTCAGAAGATGTATAGTCTTTTCTTTGCCGCTTTTCATATATCTCTTTAAAATTATTTTCATAGTAAATATTATTTTCATTGGTTTGCACTTCTTGGTTTTCCCTTTGTTCAAATTTAACTTTTTTATATCTAACAGAATCAAGAACCTGTTTTGATTTTGTAGGCTGGTTAACAATTTCAGAGAATCTTTCATCACAATACAATTTCTCATCAACTAAACTTTTAGTTATTTTTATATTTTTATCTTTTATTTCTTTTTCAAATAACTCATCTACTATAGTATCAATTGAATTTTTATCAGTTATTCTCTGTGTAGCACGAATAACTTTGGTAGAAGAAGAAGCTTTGTTTTGCTTTTCTTGACAAAGATAAGTTTCATTTGCTTGCCTTAGAGTATGGCATAAAACATCAGCTGTATCTTGTTTTGCTGAGGGATTCAGATTATGAATCATAGTTGTTGTATACTTTTGCACAACAGTAGGAATCATTCTATCCTCAATCGGTAAACCAAGACCTCTATTCCAAAAGCTAGAAAATTGTGTTGTGATCATAGAAGAATCCATTTTTGACCCATTAAAACTTAAAAATACAGGGTCACAATCCCTTACATTAACATCAGGTAATCTTTGACGGACAAAGTTGATATACATTTGGACTCGCTTATATACTTCATGTTGGAAAGTTATGTTGGCAGGTCCTTTGTAATCATTTTTATGATGTAAAACACGCACCACAATACCATCATTTTGGCTAACAGAAGATTTAAATTCTCCTAATGTCATGTTACTTATAGCAGCAGGACGGGAAGCATTATCAAATAAAACCTGAGCTATTAAACAATCTCTAATCAAACAATAGGATTTACGGTTTAATTTAAGGGACCTGTCAGCCACAAATGCTTTGAGGATATTTATTGCTTCTTTTGCAAGATCGCATTTGTCAAAATTGCAAACTTGCTCACCAGTTGGAAATCGTTTCATGTCTTCAATTTGTTTTTCATATTTTCTGCGCTCAATTGCTTTCCACAAGGTTTTACACCAAACCTTTATGACAGTTTTCATTTTATTAATTTTATTGTAATCATTTTCGTCAAACCTATCAAAATAAAAATAAGTATATTTCTTTTAAGAAAAGTTTTAAATTTTTAGATTAATTATTTTTATTAATAAATGTAACTGTTTCATTGGTTTTTTAAGAAATCATTTCTGAAAAACTTAACTTAAAAAAAAAATAAACCAAAAAATAGCAATTATGATTCTAACCGAGGATCACCAGATATAACTACAAAGTTATAAAAATGAACAAGACTTCCTAGATAAGTTTTTATAGTTCCTGCTTCTCTACCAGCATCTTGCATTTTTGTCATCCAAACATTAATAAACTCACGGTTAAAAAGATTTTTATAATCAACTGGACTATCACCAGATTGCACCATGCTCATAATTGTTGATTTATGTTTAGAGCATGTACTTCTTGGTTTTTTTCCTCCATCATTACTGTATCAGAAAACTTATTTATAAAAATATCTTCTTCTAATGAAGATAAAATAAAAGGCTGTTCAATATCTTCAAAGTCTTTATCACTTTGATCATCACTTTCACTTTCCTTTAAAAGAATTAAAATACAAATACAAATAAGATACAGCAGTTTTCATTAAAGTTTATTTTAAACCAAAAGTAAATTAGTTGTTAAAATTCATACCCTGGAACTTAATAAATCATTTTTCATAATTGAATCTTTTTCAGGTGTTAAAACTATTTTCTGAAAAAGTTTGAAAACAATAAATTAAAAACTGCAGTATTTAAAAATTTTTGATTTATAAATTTTTTTATAAGTTTTATAATTAGCAGAATATGAAAAAATTATTTTAAAATACCGTGGAACTTGCTGAAGTACTATCTTTTACAGGCAGAATACCTCTCCTTTTCATATACTCTTGAGCCAACCAATCTTCATCTTCTGAACTGTTAAGAAAATCTGCCCCTTTTCTAGAAATTTCTGATGTAAAAAACCATTCTTGTTTTGCCTTTGCTTCTGAATCTGTAAAAGATTCACTATCACTTGTCTCTGATAAATATAAATCTGAATCAGGAGAAGATAAATTGTTTCTCAATCTTTCAGAAACAATTTCCTCATCCTCATCAGGAAAATCTTCTAATAGTGGACAGGCCTTCAATAAGTACCTTTTAACTCTTTCTTTATCAAGTTTGTGATACTGTTTCAAATGATTTTCGAGACGTTTTGGAGCCAAAGCACATGAAAACATAGGGCACTGGCGTCGAACATACTTTCTCTTTTTATAACTTTCACTTACACTTTTTTTCGTGATGTTAAGACCAAAATTTACACGTGCTGCTTTAGCTTGAGCTTCATCTAATTTATGCACGGACATCATATGTCGTTTTAAATTTACAATAGGTCTGATAAAAGATTAAATGCAGTTTTTAAAAAAATATTTAAATTCATAAAAAGTTCATTAAAAACAACTAAAAGTTTAGTCTACCTATCGCATTTTGGACATTTTACTTTTCGTCTTTTCAACTTTTGATTGTGATCTAAACTATCTTTAATCAATTTTTTAGCACTTTCATTTTTCCAGCTTGTTAAAGCCTAAAGCAATTTAAATTTATAATTTAATTGATGATTGAATATAACCGTTTTTCTATCAAATAAAATTTTCAATAATCTAATTATAACCTCTTCAACCATGTCAATATTATTCAAAGCTAACCCTTTTTCCATTTTGCACTTTACATAACCTGGAATACTAAATGGCAAATATACATAACAAAAGTTAATAATAACATTAATTACTCATTCATGTAAAAAATTCAGAAGTTCATTACGCATAAATTTAACAAACCAATAAATCTGCGGGTTTTTTTCCACATGTATAGTTATTTATACTTTTAACAGCTAAAAACTTTTAGCTGTTAAAAGTATAGTTTTCTGGTGCAAAGTAGATCCTTAAACAGTTTTAACCAAAAATTTCCTCACAGATCCTTTTTTTAATCGCTTAATGATGTAATGTTATTACATAATACACATTTAATTGGTAATAGCATATATATATATATATATATATATATATATATATATATATATATATATATATATATATATATATATATATATATATATATATATATATATATATATATATATATATATATATATATATATATATATATATATATATATATATATATATATATATATATTAATATTTATATATTCATTATATTTTTCTGAAAAAGTTACAAAACAATGAGATTACAGTCAAAATTACTAATAAATACTAGAGCACTGCTAAAATTATTATAGATTTATATAACTTCATTAAAAATCCCATTTTAGACAAACAAAATTATCTTTCTAATTATTTCTTGAATTTTTATAAAGTAAAATGCATATAGCATCCTGTGGATCAATTATATAAGACCTGTCCTTCAATTTTAAGGTCATAAATGGTTTCTAAAGTCATTAGTCCCCAAACAGGGCAACATAAGATGGAAAGACATTTGTAACTGGGTCAGGACATTTTAATCAATTTTCAAGAAAGGTACAAAATATGACCCAAAAGAACAAAAGAACCTCCTGTAAAAAAATTGTGATGGAACTAGCTGATGAAGGTATATTTTTAAGCCATCAGACTGTGAACAACCACCTTTTGTAAATTGGACTAAAGGCATATCAACCGAGAGAAAAACCCAGGCTGACAAATCAAATGAAGGCCCAAGATATGAATGGCCCAAGAAGTAGTTATATAAGTGGGTCAAGGAGCATGAAACCTGGACAGAAGAAGATTTAAACAAAGTTAGGATACAGATACCTTTTTATTGTTAATTTCTGAACATTTTACTGGCAAGATTTTGAATGAAATGTAAAATTATGCACAATATGATTTTAAATATGAGAATGTCACAAGTGCCAAATATTCAAATTTTGTTTAAAGAGTCACTTCTCTTTTAGAAGGTCTTTTCTGATAAGTCCATATATGCAGTCTTAGATGACAGAGTCTAGGCAGTTTAAAGAAAGTCATGAGTAGAGGAGAGAAAGTCAGGAGAGAGTAGGAAGAGAAGAGGAGTATACCTGACTGCTTGAAGAAGAATGTAAAAATTCCAATAAAGATCATGGCCTGGGGGAGCCCTATCTGTGTATAAGTTGACTACACATAGTTGATGGGACAATTTACCAGAACAAGTACATCAAAGTAGTAGAAAGTCGTCTAGTTCTTCAAGCCAGGGAGTGGTTTGGTGATAGAGAATCGATTTTTCAACAGGATAGTGCTCCATGCTACACTGTAAAAAAAATCATAAAATCACAAGAATGTAAAAAATGGTTTGCAAAAAGTTCTTTAAAAGTACTTAAATGGCCCAGAAACTCCAGACATGATTCTAATTAAGAATAACTAAAAGATGAGATCCAAAATCCAAAGTTTGATTTTGTCAATGCCTATTCATGTTAATGCCCTTAAATTGGTTAAAGGTGGCCAAACAAAGTACTGAAATGTTAGGTGAACTATTTGAAAGAAATATAAAATATGTTCTTATGACTTATTCATGAAAATATAGCAAATATATTGAAATTTTGAAAAATCAATTATAATTTTAGCAGCACTGTATTTTATCAATGAAAGAAGTTTTTTATTTAGATTTGCTATTACTTGTTATAAGTTTACAGGATGAAATGTTATTCAATTAACAATAATTATACAATAATTTATTATATTATATTATCATTTTAAAACTATTTTACCTATTTCCATCACTACATTCTGGGTTCATCTAAATTTAAATGTTGCAAAATTTTAAAACTTTAAACAATTAAATTATATAAAATAATATAATAAATAATTAAAAAAATTATTATAAATAATTAAATAATAAAAAGATAATATTTTGAATCTTTGTTTGAATGTTGATGAAAAAAAAGTAACAATATTTTAAATTTCATTTTCATTGTATACTTTTATTTCAAACTATAAAAGTTTGAACTTATGCCACATGTAAGTTGCTATTTCTGTTGCAAAACAACAGATTAATAGATTTTTTTTAGAATATAGTTAAAATGCTTTTTAGTAAACTTAAGATAGTGTAACTTTACTAATAATGCTATTTGGTTTTTAACAAATAACTCATGAAGATTTTATGCTTATATTAGCATAAAATCCGATAGGTTTCAGAAGTTCAGTCCAGGAGGACATTGCCTTTTTTAAATAAAGTGAGTGTGGTGCGCACTTTTATCTTCTAATTTTATGACAAAAATTAACCATTAATTTCACTTATTTTGTGCAAGAACATGATTTAATATTTTGTCAATTTTTTTAAATTGAAACATTATAAGAAACATTTTTGACTAAGTTAAGTTTATTTATAGTTAAATAAATTACAAAATGTCAAAAACATTGTTGAAAGAACATATGAAAGATAAGAGGATAAAATTTTAACATTAATTAAGTTACTAACACTGGGTACAGAAGTTTCAAGAGTGGATTTCTCACAGGTTTGAACATTTTCAATTACAAAGTCAATATTTTCTAAAATAAATGTTATAAACTATTAATTATTTTGTAATAACTATTATATACATTAACTTCTAAATCAGAAAATAAAAATTTAAAACCGTTGGCATGATTATCAAATATTTAACTACAATGAAAATATAAAAACATTTCACTTCTACTCTTACATGTTTACTTAGGCAGTTTACATACAGCACTGGAAATAATTATTTTACTTTTTTAACAAATAAAATTTATACCTGCTAACAGAATAGATGAATAAATATTTTGCACTGGACTTTCTGATTCTATCATCATCTAACATAAATATCCAAGAATAAATAAGTTTGAAATTTAAATCAATTTTTTAAATAAACATATATTTTTTACATATATATTTATATATGTATGAAATTTTATACATAAGTAATTTTTTAGATTTTTTTTTATTCAAATATCAAGAGATCTTTTTTAAGTTAGGTCATTATATTAAAAATTATTCAAACTAAATAAAACTAATTCAATTTTTGTATCTCAGCAAATCGTAAACAACTAAAAGAAATACATGAATAACAATATTTTCATGATTGGAGTTAGTGGAGTGTTTGCTGAATGTAGTGGAATAGTGGTCCCCTGCCTATTTAGTAATGGCATTTTAGTTACTCTATTAAAATGTGTTCAAAAACAAAAACTTAAATTACAAAAACAACAATATACGATTTGTGGGTTGATGCAAAAAATTTAAAATATTGATTTTCAACATTTTCAAATAGCAAAACTTGACTTACACTAAATAGCAAAAATTTTCAAATAGCAAAACTTGACTTACACTTTGATTATCATTAGAAAGCTGTTGCTTGCCACAGTTTGTGATTTTAATATTGCAGTGGTCAATATTATCTGGAAAATTCATAAAATAAAAGTTAAGAAAAAATACTTGTCCTTGTATTATATATTGAATAAATTATTATTCCTTAAAGTTAATGGGAAATAAAAATAAAAGAAAAAAATCTAAAATATTTTAATTTTTACCTAAAAGAAATATAATATTAATTACAAAAAAAATTTCTAACCTGAAATATGATTTTCTGCATCTAAATTATTCTAATAAAATAAATAGAAAAAGTTATTATTTCAGTATAGCTATCAAATTTATATTAAAAAGATATGAAAGAATTCAACAAGTATTTAATATTTCAACATTGACAGTCTAAAAGTTACTTACACTCTGTACAGATGTTACAAAAATGGATTTTTCAGAGGATTGAACTTTTTCAAATATGTAGCCAATATTTTCTAAAAAAAGGTTTTTAAATACATACTGTTTTTAAAAAATGTTAATTACAACTCAACAATTTTTATTAGAAAAAAAAAAGAATTTTTAACATCAATTGTCATCAAGTGGATATACAATATTTATTATTATAATTCTTTTAAAGAGGTGTCTGGTTTTGAAGTAAATAGTAATTTTTTCATTATGCATTTGAAAAGTATATAATGTATTAAAATGTATAATGAAAAAATTTTTTAATTATAAAAATATTTATAACTTTGATTATAAACATTTTTTAATTATAAAAAAAAGTAATATTAATTTTATAAGCAAAAGCTAATGAAATCAATGAATTTACTTAAACTTAATTACAGACTATACTCACACTACCTGAGTAACTTAATATTGTCACAAGATAAAATAAAACTTATATACCAATTTAACTTGTTTACACTAAAAATTACTATTTGACTAAAAAACTAAATAAAACCTGTTAATAAAACAGGGGATTGTGATATAATATCTGATGTTGAACTTTCTGATTCATTCACATTCTAAAAAAAAAACTAGGTCAAATAAACAAGGTAACAGCAAAAACTCTCATAAACTTGAAGAAAACAAAACATAAACTTTTTGACAATTTATAAGTTACTTACACTGTATATAGAAGTTAATGAGGTTTGAGGAACAGATTTCTCACAGGTTTGAACATTTTCATTGATCAAGTCAATATTTTCTAAAATAAATGTTATAAACTATTATTTTAGTAATAACTACTATATATTAATTTCTAAAATAGACAAGAATGAGCAAAAACCATGATTACAAATATTTAACAACAATTAATATATAAAACACTTCACTCTTACTCTTACATATTCACTTAAGCAGTTTACATGCAGCACTGGAAATAATTATTTTACTTATAAAATTTTAAAACGAATACCTGATAATAGAATAGATGAATAAATATTTTGTGCTGGACTTTTTGATTGTATTATGATCTAACATATATATACAAGAATAAACAAGTTTGAAATTTAAATAAATTTTTTTAATAAACATATATTTTTTACATATATATTTATATATGTATGAAATTTTATACATGAATAATTTTTCAGATTTTTTTTATTCAAATATCAAGAGATCTTTTTTAAGTTAGGTCATTATATTAAAAATTATATAAAAACTAATTCAATTTTTTTATCTCAGCAAATCGTAATACCTAAAAGAAATACATGAATTACAATATTTTCGTGATTGGAGTTAGTGGAGTGTTTGCTGAATGTAGTGGAATAGTGGTCCCCTGCCTATTTAGTAATGGCATTTTAGTTACTCTATTAAAATGTGTTCAAAAAAAAAACTTAAATTACAAAAACAACAATATACGATTTGTGGGTTGATACAAAAAATTTTAAATATTGATTTTCAACATTTTCAAACAGCAAAACTTGACTTACACTAACACTTTGATTATCATTAGAAAGCTGTTGCTTGCCACAGTTTGTGGTTTTAACATTGCAGTGGTCAATATTATCTGGTGAATTCATAAAATAAAACTTTAGAAAAAAGATTGAGTTGTACTTCTAATAAATATTGAGCAAACTTTTATTCCTTAAGTTTAATAGGAATTAAAAATAAAAGAAAAAAATTTAAAATATTTAATTTTACCTTAAAAAAAAAAAAAATTAATTATAAAAGAATTTTCTAACCTGAAATACGATTTTCTGTGTCTAAAGTTCTTACAAAATTCTAGAAAATTATTTTCATTTTAGTAAAGTTAACAAACTTATATTAGTTAACATAAATTTTCAAAAAGAAAAAAGAGTAAAAACTTTACATACATCCATATTTGTCAATATTAATGGTCTTTTGTAAATAGACTAATAACAACAGAAATGCATAAAAAAGTTTTAATAAATATTTTTGATTATTATAAAACCATTCTTAATCCAAATAATTTACTCAATGAATAATAGCAAAATGTTACAAAAACTTTATAAATAAAATGAACCTGCTTTCGCCAAGATAATCCAGATGTTTCCCCATAGCTATATCTATAAATTTGTACTGATTGAATATCATTGAGAAAAATTTTTTTTTAATAATTTTGAGAGAAAATAAATTATTGCTAATATCTCACCGTAATTCTGTAAACTTTGGAATATCTTTTGTTGAAAAAAGACATAAATGAGGAACATTTCTCTCAGAAACAATTTTAACAAAACAATTTGAATAAGATGGTGAACTATCATTGACAAATTTTCCCATTCGAGAAGAATATGTTCCATCAACACTATGAGAAAATTAATAAATTAGATTTACTTTTAAATTTTTTTGTTTGTTTTAAACACATTTCAAAATTACATACCAGTACTGTTTACCATTGAAAGAAAAAAAATAAATAAAACATCCCAGATTATTTTCCTCTGCAAAACTTTGCCTTTTTTCTCCTTCATAATGTTCAACAAGTTCACCGGGATATTCTAATAGAAATGATCCCTTTGGAATATCCATGTTTGCAAAAACTCCAAAACCTAAGTAAATTAATTAATTATTTACTGTTTTTATATTCAGTATAAAAAGGAAACACTGAAAATACAAAAATTAATTGTTATTAAAAAAAGGTTACAAGAACTCTTAGATCAAAATTTTATTTTAATTGTAATATGTTGAGAATGCTATTTTATTTACAAATACTTTTTAAAAATAAGCATGACTAATAACAGCATTGATTAAAAAACAAGCATTTTTTTAAGCTTTTTACTAAAAAAATTAATAACTACTTAAACTAAACTTATGGATCCATAGTGTAGAAAAAAAAAAGACTAATAACACTAAATAAGTTATGAAATATAATAGAATTGAGGGATAAAAAAAGAACTTTTCTGTTTGCCTAACACTGATTTAAAAGAAGAAGTTTTGACATTGAGTAAAAAAATTGTTTATTTTTGAATTAAACACAACAATTATTTTAACCCAAATTTGGTACCTATAGCATCAGATATATAGTGCTTAATTAATATTGGTAAATCCATTTCTTGCTGAATCATTCTTTTAGCAATATCCAAAGGATCAATTTTTTTTTCAGTACTACGCTAAAAATAAAAACAAAATTATTTTCTACACTTCTATTTCACTAAAAACCTTTTTACTTAAAATACGAATTAGTTTATCTATACAAAAAAATTTATATAAAAATAGACTAACCAATTTTCTTGCAGCCATATTTTTAATTGAGTGTTTTAATGTGCTTCAAGGTAACCTAAACTAAAGTATATCTAAAAAAAATTGAACTGCAATTTAAAGCTATTAAACCGTCAACTAAATACTTTCACAGAAAGTAAATAAGTAAGTCTCACACATTTACTTTCTCCCACACACACAAAAAATGTTGAGTAAATGTGCATATATTTTTATGTGGAAAATTTTATTTTATGCAAACAATAATTTCTTTAGTTTTTTTTTGTTTGTAGTTTATAAAACAAAATCCTTTGGGTAGAAAAACAAAAAGATTAACTAAATTATCTACATTTTCCATTGTTTATTTATCTATCAATTTACTTATTCTTTAATTAATCAAAAGTGGAGAGAATAATTTAATAATACTATTCAAAATTTATTTCAAGTAGAACAAAACATGTTTTTATATAAATAATAGATTATTTGACCAAATGGGTTTTACCATTTAAAAATATAATACATGTATAGTGATGTACAAATTGCAGATTTTTGACCAATACTAATTCTAATGTAAATGGGCAGAAAAAGAGTGATACTGACACAG